TGACACAAATTTTACATAGCTAAAAGCTATGCAGTCATTTTATAAAGAGAAGAAAAATATCATGAAATAGGAATCTGACATTTTAATATCTCCATATAAGTATTAGTAACTGTTTTAACAATTAAAACTTGACAAAAAAAAATCCTAAACCTGAGAAATATAATCAAAAGTTAAAACAGATGACAGCATGATCTTAAACTTGCATCATTAATAATCTTCTAGGAATATGTAAAATAATAAAAAAATAAGCATACATGTATAGCATGTACATTTTCTTGAGGAACAAACTGATAATTCTTAAAGAGTCTCAAAAAGATCTATGTCCTCCAAAATATTAAATATCATTACCCTACAGACAGAAACTGTCCCTACAACATAGACTACAAAGCAAAATCTGAGAAAATGAAGACATTTTTAGAACATAATCAATTTGGATACAATTCTATTCATCTGAAGTCAGCACAATAGATTATATCATTTGTCTAATATTCTATTTGTCTCACCATAGACAGACTATGTCATGCCATAACAATTATACAGTGGCTGAATTACTATTTCCAGAACTTTAGCAAAGAATTTGTATTCTGGCCTTCAGATTCTTGCTCTGAAAAATGGACTTTTCTAATAATCTTCCAGCTTTAAAGTGATGGATATTAAAAAAAAAAGTGATGGATATTGTTCATATTTAATCTCCTAACATAATCTGCATAATCTACTTCTTTTAATTACCTATAGCCATTTCCATATTTAGTGTGTATATATATATATTCTTACATATATATCTACCATAATTACTACAAGGGCAATTAAATATAAAAGCACCTCCCAAATACACACATTTTTGTTATTCATTATACTGAATACATTTACAAAGACAAATCATAAATAAGTAGAGATGGCAGTGTAAAAATCTCTGTAAACCCATTCCTCCATAATTGTAATGAGAACATTAGCACAAGGTGTCAAAAGCAATTTTTTTCAAAACTCTGGAAAATAACCAGACTTGCAACAATCCCAGGTACATTTATTCAAGAAACGGGGCTAAATCTAGCTATGAGAGAGGTGTGTGGTGTTTTGATTTGTCCCTTTTCCAGTAAGCTGCCCCCAAGTCAAACTTCACAGAGCCGAGGAAACCAGCGGTCTGGTAGACACAAGGAGAACATATGAGGGCTGGGACTCCCCAAACTGCATGCCCAGACAACTGTAATCCCCTGATAGGTAGGGTTTGTCTGGCTTTGACCCAACCCACAGTTGAGTCATGGAGAATGGTGTTTCCCCTGGAATCTTTGTCAGAAGCAGTCAGTGGCAATTGTTTATTATCGCAGCTTCCTTGGGTGGTAGCAAAGCTGGGGTATACAACAAGCTGACCACAAAATTTAAAAGGGAACTTGAGGCTCTGTACAGGCGAGACATGAAGGCAAAGGCCGAGTTTTAACTGCCTGTCACAGCTCTGCAGGTGCTAAGAGAACACTATTCTTATCCGTAAAAGATAAACCTTCCAACTCTACTAGTTAATAATAAATCTCTATCATACAGAGTTCACTAGGTGATGGAAGGGGACAGGACTGTTACACACAGTCATTTAGGAACCTAAGCTGAGGGAAGCTCTGCCATCTTCAACAGGCAGCTCCCAAGGTCAGAGCAGTCATGGAGACGCAGCCAGCGCAGGGAGAGCTGGGGCTAAAAGCAGTACACACAGCTTTCAGCCACCCTCCCTCTGCCACACCTCAGGGCATGGCTTCATATAACTGGACAGGAAAGGGAAAGGGACTGGAAAAGTAGTTCTCCAGTCTTGGTCCCACAGGAAAAAGAAAACTGCCCATTATATAGCACACCATAAAGTAAATTTAGGTAAAGGGAACATTTCGTACAAAGATGGGCTCAATAAAGGACAGAAATGGTATGGACCTAATAGAAGCAGAAGATATAAGAAGAGGTAGCAAGAATACACACAAGAACTACACAAGAAAGATCTTTTCAACCCAGATAACCATGATGGTGTGATCACTCACCTAGAGCCAGACATCCTGAAATGCAAAGTCAAGTGGGCCTTAGGAAGCATCACTACGAACAAAGCTAATGGAGGTAATTCCAGTTGAGCTATTCCAAATCCTAAAAGATGATGCTGTAAAAGTGCTGCACTCGATATGCCAGCAAATTTGGAAAACTCAGCAGTGGCCACAGGACTGGAAAAGGTCAGTTTTCATTCCAATCCCAAAGAAAGGCAATGCCAAAGAATGTTCAATCTACCACACAATTGCACTTATCTCACATGCCAGCAAAGTAATGCTCAAAATTCTCCAAGCCAGACTTGAACAGTATGTGAACTGTGAAACTTCCAGATGTTCAAGCTGGTTTTAGAAAAGGCAGAGGAACCAGAGATCAAATTGCCAACATCTGCTAGATCACCAAAAAAGCAAGAGTTCCAGAAAAACATCTACTTCTGCTTTATTGACTGCGCCAAAGCCTCTGACTGTGTGGATCAAACAAACTACGGAAAATTTGTAAAGAGATGTGAATACCAGACCACCTGACATGTCTCCTGAGAAATCTGTATGTGGGTCAAGAAGCAATGGTGAGACTAGAAATGGAACAGACTGGTTCCAACCTGGCAAAGGAGCATGCCAAGGCTGTATGCTGTCATCCTGCTTATTTAACTTATATGCAGAGTACATCACGTGAAATGCTGGGCTGGATGAAGCACAAGCTGGAACCAAGATTGCCGGGAGAAATATCAATAACCTCAGATATGCAGATGACACCACCCTTATGACAGAAAGTGAAGAACTAAAGAGCTTCTTGATGAATGTGAAAGAGAAGAGTGAAAAAGTTGGTTTAAAACTCAACATTTAGAAAACTAAAATCATGGCATTCGGTCCCATCACTTCATGGCAAATAGATGGAGAAACAGTAGAAACAGTGAGAGACTTTATTTTTTTGAGCTCCAAAATCATTGATGGTGACTGCAGCCCGAAAATTAAAAGACACTTGCTCCTTGGAAGAAAAGTTATGACAAACCTAGACAGTATATTTAAAAGCAGAGACATTACTTTGCCAACAAAGGTCCATCTAGTCAAGGCTATAACCGGTTTTTCCAGTATTCATGTATGGATGTGAGAGTTCAACTGTGAAGAAAGCTGAGTGCCGAAGAACTGATGCTTTTGAACTGTGGTGTTGGAGAAGACTCTTCCGAGTCCCTTGGACTGCAAGGAGATTCAACCAGTCAATCCTAGAGGAAATCAGTCCTGAAGGATTGATGCTGAAGCTGAAACTCCAATACTTTGGCCACCTGATGTAAAGAACTGACTCATTGGAAAAGATCCTGATGCTGGGAAAAACTGAAGGCAGGAGGAGAAGGGGATGACAGAGGATGAGATGGTTGGATGGCATCACCGACTTGATGGACATGAGTGTGAGTAAGCTCCAGGAGTTGGTGATGGACAGGGAAGCCTGGAGAGCTGCAGTCTGTAAGGTCGCAAAGAGTCAGACACGACTGAGCAATCAACTAAACTGTGAAGTGAAAGTTGCTCAGTCGTGTCTGACTCTTTGTGATCCAATGGACAATGTGGTCCATGGGATTCTCCAGGCCAGAATAATGGAGTGGGTAGCCTTTCCCTTCTCCAGGGGATCTTCCCAACCCAGGGATCAAACCCAGGTCTCCTGCATTGCAGGCAGATCCTTTATCAGCTGAGCCACCAGGGAAGAACTAAACTGAACTGAACCGAAAGTAAATTTATATCGAGCCCTAGGTGGCGCTAGTGGTAACAAACCTGCCAGCCAATGCAGGAGACTGAAGAGATGCAGGTTGGATCTCCGGGTCGGGAAGATACCCTTGGAGGAGGGCATGGCAACCCACTCCAGTATTATTGCCTGGAGAATCCCATGGAAAGAGAAGCCTGGCAGGTTATAGTCCATGGGGTTGCACAGAGTTGGACACGACTGAAGCAACTCTTAGCACCCATGCCTCTTAGGATGTAAATAATACTACAACTGGTGAAAAGAGAAAACATCTTCCTTATGATGACTTAAAATGTCCTTAAAAAAACAACACTTTATAAATGGAGAAAAAACTAAACCAACAACTCTAAATTTTTAACTGTGTCCTTTATAGAATTTTCATGCTACAAACAACAACACATAAGCTGAGTTTCCAGAACAAAAATAACATGTTGAGCTTCCTATAAAAATAATGTTCATTTATTCAACAAAGTCAGAAACATAAGGCAGAAAGAACTTTGGCTATTACCTGACAAACCTCCCATCATTTTAGAGATGATGAAGGTGTATGACCACACGGATAGGTCATAAAATCAGAAACTAGTCAAAGCAGACTAGAGTTTAAGCTTCCTGATTTCCAATCAACAGTTTTTCTCTTTGACCACAAGAAGCTTCCTTTTCATTACCACTTTAGCAACTTCTTCTTGTTTAAAGTTCAGGTCATATAAATATCATTTTTACTGTGAAGCTCACTCCAACTTACCCAGGCAAACTGTCTGTCCCTCCCATCACCCCCACATGTCTTTTAAATATTTATATACAATCAGAGTATTGCTAACTGTCAACATGTATACTTCCATAAATGAACAGATCATGAACTGTTTGAAGAGAGCAACTTGGTTTCACTCCCTTTTGTATCCTAAGCAACAAGTAGTGCCTGACACATGATAAGTGCTAAATAAATGTTTGCTGAATGAGGAATAAAACTGTACATGCAGAATAGTAATCAAAATTTGAGCAACATCATTAATTATTTAGATATCAAAATGGATTTGAATGAAAATATTCACTTGACAAACAGATTCTGATAGGATTATATTTTTTAAATCAACATATTATACAGTAAAATCATTGTTTTAAACAGTTAAATGTGACTTAGCAATTAATGAATTCAATGTATTACCATTTGAAGAAAAATTCTTATGAGAATAACTTTATCTTTCAATATGAAAATTAAACTGCCAAAAACCAATCATCAGCAATGCAAATAAAAATAAAAATACCTGCTTTTTCTGACGTCCTAAGAAATACCATGTCCGATGGAATTCTTTGATTCTGCAGAGTAACAGAAAATATTAATTATCTGTATGTAAGTTTATAAATTAACACAATTCCATTTCAAAGGAGAAACAGCTGCTAAAAACAACTAAAATAATTCAACTCTATGTTGAAACATTTATAATTTGTATAACAAAAATGAATATTTCAATTCATATTTTAGTTAGATCTCTAAGATTTCTTTCCCCATCAATGAACTGTGTAAATGGCATTTAGTGAAGATCTGAAACTACTCCATTTCTGAAAAATGTTAAACATTACCATTTCTGTGGCCTCTGCTGTACTTCGACTCATACATACAATATAGTATGTGTACTGCCTTCTAAAAAAATTATGCACTATCAGACTAAATGACCTGGAAGGGGAGGATAGTGTTCTTCCAACATCTAACACAAAACAAAGCATAAAAAAATGAACACTTAGTAAATGTTGAATGAATGAATAAATGTACAGCTGAGCAGACTAAACCCTACAAATTTGAGGAGATACTCTTTTACAAGGCAGAAAAGGAGAAAAACTTCAAAGTTCACTATTCATACATTTACTTAATCACTATTACTGATGATAACTGGTATTAATTAGTACTAGTAATAATACTTAGCATTAATTAGTTGGGAAAGCCATACAAACTGAAGAAAAATATAAGAATACTTCACATAATTTCATGAATTATTTATATTTTTTGAGACCTAAGTAAATATTTATATACAAACAATAAAGAAATGAATTACTTGTCAGTCAGCAAGCAACAACAACAAATATAAGTTGAGCTGTTAATGGTGAAAAAAGATACGCTGCAGAACAGTGCTTCTTATTTCTAACATGAAATAATTTCTAACATTTCTTTAGGCCATTATTGAGAGCTAAGGAACCCCTAGGTGAAGGGGGAATGAAAATTAGAAAATGTTGGTAATAAAATCTCAACATATCAAAATGTGGAACACAGCCAAAGTTAGAAAAATGGTAAGAGGAAAGTATACATGATTAAACTGCAAACAGAAGAAAAGGGAGACTAAAAACACACAGGGAACTGAATTATCTGTTTGAAAGCAGAAAAAAAAAAGCCAATAAATCCCAAAGAACATACAAAGATGTAAGCAAATATAAGAGCAAAATTAATGGCACAGAAAATGAAAACATATATACCAGTAACAAACAGCAAGAAAGTACATTTAAAAAAAAAAAATGCCCATTTTGGTAATAAGAAAAAACTAGCATTAGAATAAAACAGATGAATGGGCAAGTTCTCTCAATAAAAAACTATAAAAAATTTTATAAACTATAAAACATTATTGAAAGAAATTAAATAAACACTAAGAAACAGAACATACCATGCTCTCACATTAGAACACACAGTATTGCAAAGATGTGACGTGTCCACAGACTGACCCATACATCCAATACAAACCCAATCGAAATCTTAACATGCTTTTTTGATGGGAACTGACAAGACATTCCTAACATTTAGAGGGCAATGCAAATGCCAAGAATGACTAACAATATGGAGGGTTGAATGTGTAACATAACAAAACGAAATATTAAAATACAATAATTAAGACAAGATGGCATTCAACAAAAATAGATGATTTTATAATGTAAAGTAGAGGATGCAGAAGTCAGTCCACGCAAATATGGACACAAGATTTATGAGGAAGCTGGCACTGTGGACATCTTTTAAATAAATAGCTTTCTAGAGAAAACTAGATACTTATGGGCGATGAGAAGAGGTAATACTAGGCCTCTACTTCAAAAGAAAAACAAACCTATTCCAAATGAATTATAAATGTCAAAGTCAAAACAATAAAATCTAAAAGATAATACAGAAGAATACTTTCATAACTTTTTGGTAGAAAGATCGATTTCTTAAACAAGACTCCTTCCCCTCACCACCACAAATTAAAAAAAAAACTTATTATAAATGAAAAGATTAATAATGTAGATTTCATTAAAACTAGGAATTTCTATTCCACAAAGCCTACTAGGAAGGAAAAGATATTTGCAAGATAAAACTAATAAAGGATTCCCATCTAGAATATCTGAAGGCCTGCAAACTGATAAGAAAGGATAACTCAGAAGAAAAATAGTAAGAGATTTTCACTGGCTATTTACCACTGAACCACAGGGAAGCTTCCAAAAAAGAAAGATATCCAAAATCATATGAAAAGTGTTCACTTTTGATAGTGTACAGAAATGCACATCAAAACTAAAACTTGCTACATACACAATTTGGAAATGGTAATTTTAAAAGGTTGGCAATGCTAAGTGATGGCAAACATGAGTAATGGGAACTCTTCCTGCTGACCTCAGTATTATCTGATCCATCACTCTGCAAAACCATTTGGAGTAAGCACTCAGGTGAAACATCCACACGCCCCAAAATCCAACAAGCCCACTCCTGAGTACATATGCAACAGGAAAGTGCACATGTGTGAGCCACAACACATGGTCACAGATGTCTCACAGCTATCATTCCTAACAGGAAAACTTGGGAGCAACCCAAATATCCACCAATGGTAGAATGGATAAGAGTCATACTATGCAACAACAAAATGAATGAACTATAACTGCAAACAACAAAACGAAGAATCTCACAATCAGCACTAGATTAAAAATAAGCACCCACCCAAACACAGCTCCATCCTGAATTTTCCAGGCACCCGTGTTGAAAATCAATTAACCATAAACTTAAGGCTTTATTTCTGGACTCAACGTTTAATTTATGCCAGTTCCATACTGTCCTGATTACTGTTAACTTTTAAAAAATTCTGAAATGGAGAAGTGTGAATACTCGAACAATTTTGTTCATATGTTTAAAAACTGCTTTGGCTACTTTGAATCTTTTATATTTCCATACGAATTTCAGAATCAGCTCATAAATTTCTGCAAAGAAGTCAGCTAGGATGTTGAGAGGGCAGCACTGAATCTGTAGATCAGTTTGGGAGTATTCCCATTTTAACAGTATGAATATTTCTAATCTATGAACATGGGAAATCTTTCCATTTATCTAGGTCGTCTTTACTGTGTTTTGACAATGTTTTGTAGTCTTCAAAGTTTTGGACCTCTTTTGTTACATTTATTCTTAACAATGATTTTATTTGTAAGTATTTTATTCCTTTGATGCGACTACAAATGAAATTGTGTTCTTAATTTCAATTTTAGACCATTACTCTATATTCCTCTATACTGTTTTATGTTCTATGGGTATCAATAAATAAATTAGAAACTCCAAAATAATTATTCGATACTTTTTTTTAATTGGATACTTTTTATTTTTCCCTCCTCTTAGGATTCTGAGCAATACAGAAGTAGGGACCTGTGTCTTCTTAATATACCATGGTCCCTTTCGCTGGCACCTACACTCTCTCTTTCCCCCTCCAACTGGCAGGTCAGTGATAAGCTGCCCAGTGGAGAGGCCTATATAGCCAGGAACGAGGGTGGCTTCAGGCCAAAAGCTGGCAGAACAGAGGCCTTGAATTCAAAAAGGCAGCAAATCCTGTCAACCACCCCCAGAGTAAGACCGGCATCAGGTCCAAAGTGATGGCCATGAGGCTGACACCCTAACAGCCCTTGACTGCAGCCCTGTGACAGACCCGGAGCCAGGAGGAGCAGCTAGGCTGTACCCAGATTCCTGACCATACAAACTGTGAGGAAATAAGTGCTGATTTTTGGAAAAAACTACATCAAAATGTATATGACTAATATATGGCTCAGCCATCTCTCTTGTCAGCATTTAGCCAACAGAATCCAGAAAGAATATATGTACCAAGATGTTCACTACAGCACTCTTCAATAGCAGAAAAGAAAACCATCCAAAATCTAATAATGGATCAAAAGTTAGTAATTTATAGTATTCATATAACTGAATACTACATAAATAAATTGCAAATCAGTGTTTAATTTTCTCCCATTCTGTAAAATTAGACAAACACAGCCCACAACATTATCTGTGTACACATACTGCAACCAGATGAAGACCGCTTCAGTCTTGAAGAGCCCTCTCACTAAACACCCCTGCAGGCGACGCAGGCTGGGGGTGCCTTGGTGGGTTCCCAGGTGGACGTCAGCTGGCACCAAGGGCTCACACTCCTCTGTAATAGGCCTTATGAAAACCTGCCATATTTTTTTTTAAAGTTGTTCAAGAGCCTTAAAAATAAAGACTGAACCCTCAGTAACTGTTACTCAGGAAGACTGTGCAGTCAGAGACGCTTCTCCACACAGGCAGACAGCCCAGGCAGTCAAACTCCAGTGGAGTGGCAGCTTGTCCACAGCTACCTCTGACCACCGTGGGGTTTTTAATGGCTTCCTACAACACTGACCTAAACTTTTTCTTTCTAATCCTCTTTATTTCCATTTCCTTTTTAAGCCATAAGAATACACAATAATTATGTATAATACATCTGTCTGTAAAAGGAAGCTTTAGAAACTGAAACTGCATGTGCTAAGTTGCTTCAGTCGTGTCCGACTCTTTATGGCCCTATAGACCAGAGCCCACCAGGCTCCTCTGTTCACGGGATTTTTCAGGCAAGAAACTGGAGGGGGTTGCCATGCCCTTCTCCTGGGAATCTTCCCGAACCAGGGATCAAAGCCACACCTCTTATGTCTCCTGCATTGGCAGACAGGTTCTTTACACTAGTGCCACCTGGGAAGCCCCAGAAACTGAAACTATTTCATGATAAATAGGTTCTAACTAATATAATTCTTTGGTCAAAGATATAATTCTGACAACGAAACAATAAACAGGTAACACATCTTATTTTGGACAAAATACGACTACACACTAAAATGTACTTTAGCAAAAAAAAAAAAAAAACAAACTATACAAAAGTCTAGATTTTTTCTTCAGAATATCAATCTTATACAATAATGTTAAGATTTAAAATAACTGTCTCAAATAATTTCCTTCAGATGAAATCAGTCTAAATGTTAATAACTGGTATACACATGTCTAAAATATATTAAAAATGCATCAACCTTTTCCACTATGATGAGGTCTCCAACTTGTATGTCTGAACTCTTAACTTGCACTTTACCTTAAAAAAAAGAAGAAGTATAATCAACTCAATGAAATAATAGCACATCAGAGTTAAACTTTCAGTTGATAAATAATCCTTAAGAAATAACTTTGGGAGGAAAAAATAACATTCTAGGTACTTATCTATACTTATACTTTCAAAATAAATTTATTTCAAATGGACACAGTCACTAAAAATTAACTTCTCTCAGTCAACTCCCAAATACAGTTAACTATCCCCCAATAAGAGATATGTCGGAACATGGACAAGGACTCCTTTTGGAAAGTTCTTCCCGTATCTGCCATTATTTCAGGTCTGAGTCAAGTTACGGATGATCAAAAGTATCACTAAACAAAATAATTTGATGACAAAGCTGAATAACATGGAGATGTAAAATCCTTACATTAATATTGTGAATGGCATTGACTGGCACACAACTGACAGAATAACAAACAAAGAAAAATATATGTAAGACCATCCTCCACTAGTAGCTCCAAAGACACAGGTCAGGACTGAAAACTAAAGGTTTAGAGCTTTACACAAAAAGTGGTGTAAACTCTTGTAAACTCTTATCTCTATGGTATCCAGTGCAGCGTGACCATTTACAAAATCTAACACAGAGTCTACATCACGTCTGCACCACAGAGAGGAGACGAGAAGCTGATGTGGACAAGGTGAGACGCTGCTGGACAACAGTAACGAGCCCTGGTCCAGGTCCTGCTCCCTGTGATTCCTTCTCCCCTCCGTCTCTCTCCCTCTCCTGTCTCCCTCCCTCTGTCCATCTCCCTTTTAGGACCAGCGACAGCCATGTAGATCTATTTTTATATTTTTGCCAAAACTACTGTTTTGTATGAGAAAAGGTCCACTTCTTTTACAGTCAGTTTATTCTGAAAGCTAAAAGAACAGAGGTAAGTTTGTAATGTATTAGTTCATATTACAAAAACTAATGCTACCAGTCATTACTTGACTTATAGACCAAATTCAGCTCATTATAAAGTCTTATTTCCTAAATATCTCTGAACGCAGCTGAGGTTCAACAGAACATCAGTTCCTAATTATTTGTTTTAAGGTATCAAAAAGTTTTGTAAATATTATATTTTTTCCCATTCCTCAATTATACAATAAATACATAAGGGTTGAGTTACTTTCCTGAAGGGAGGTGAAGCTACTTTTTATTGATATAAAATAACAATGTACTTTAGAATTACATGTGAAGCAATCTTAAGATATCTTCATAAGAGGTAAGTATCTGTTTACTAATAGCCAAAAAGCTTTCTTTTTTTTCAGTTGGTTACGTCAAGCTTCATGTTTGTACTCCCACTGTCATGTTTTTTATAGCTAAGCATCAGGCAGTAAAGACATACCACTGAACTCATACTCCTGTATACTGTTCTTTTTCAACTGCCAAGTCCTGTCCACCTCTTTGTGACCCTGTGGACTGCAGCACGCCAGGCTTCCCCATCCTTTAACTCAACACAATTCCCATCTTATCATTTAATTTTATGCTGTGCTACTATCCAATCCATTTTCCCTTCCTTCTGCTTTTTTACATGCTAGTAGAATGAGATGAGAAACTAAGGATTACGCTCACCCTCACCCCAGCCCTCCGTTATCTGCAATCCCTGGAAGATAACCAAGTCGGCAGTGCGCGTGCTCCTTTCTCCACAGCTGATCTCTTTCTGCGCCATCCCCTGCCTCGTCCCCCTCTGGTCTGGCACTTTATCCTATGACCATGTGATGCCCTTGCTGGTTCTCACAGGTTCTCTGTATTCACTGTTCCTTTAGGTTGAAACCCATCCCTCCACAGATCTCCTTACTTACATAGCAACACTGCCCCATGAAGCCTCTAGAGCAGGTATAAGCAGCAGCAGGATTTTACACAGACTGCTACACATGTGCTTAAAATGCTACATTGCTATAAATATTCGAACACCTGAGGGTCTACCAAATTTCAGATCCTGTGCACTTCAAGGACATTTAGTTTGTTCTTCACAAATGCACATCCAAACTTAACCCATTTTAAAAAAAGAGAAGAACTATATAACCATTCTACCCATCATCAGTTAAAATGGGTCAAATGTCAGAACGGATTAAAGAGAACAGAACCATAAAAGCCACATCTAACCAGATATAGACATCATCAAATGAGAATGAAAATGTATTAATTGCTTATTTCCCAACAAAACACACGCAACATGATAAGAGTGAGAGATAATGATGTAACTTTTTAAAAAGCACTTGCTCACAGACAAGGAGCCCCTGGAAGGCCACGCAGCTGAGATGAAGAGCACTGCTGCTGAGCAGACGACCACCCGCAGCATCAGCAGGCTGTCTGGCTGGTCCTCATTACTGGGGGGAATGGTACTCTCCCCCAACTCTCTTCACATCTTAAGTAGGAGCCTAATTTAACACAGATTATGAAGCAAAAGTGGGTACCTGGGAAACAGTATATTAATTATATTATGTTATAAGGCTGGCCCAAAAGTTCATTCCATTTTTCATAAGATCTTATGGAAAAAATCAAATGAATTTTTTGGCCAACGAATATATTAAGAGAGAGACTTATAATTCAGAAGAAAACCCAAAATATTGCTGGGAAAAAATTATGAAACACCTAAATAAAAGAAGAGGTATATTTCATTCATGGATCAGAACACTTTAATACTATTAAAGTACCAATTCTCCCCAAAATTTACCTACAGATTCAATGCAGTTAAAATCCTAGCAGGCTATTTTTTAATAGAAATTGACAAAGCAATTCTAAAAGTCACATGGAAATACAAAGGATGCAGTTTAGCCAAAACAACTCTGAAAATGAAAACACAAAGCTGGAGGGCAAACACTACTGTACTTCAGAATTATTAATACTATGAAACAACAGTAATCAAGAGCATTGTTTTAGCATAAAGAGAAACAAATAGATCAACAGAGTGAAGAGAGTCCAGAAATAAACACATACATGGAAGACAACTGATTGTTGACTAAAGTATAAGGCCACACAGTGGGAAAGAGGTCACTTTCTCGAAAAATGGTGCCAGAAACAACACCCACACCTGGTACTGATACAAAATTTACTCGAAATAGATACGTGATATACACAACAAATTCTAAAACCAAAAAACTTATAGAAGAAGAAACATCGAAGAAACCTAACAAAATCTCTGTGAAAGTTTCTCAGGAATCTTATAGTGTTTCATGTTTCTCAGAGAACACAAGAAAAAAATGAAAAATGACAATACCTGGTGGAGGGTAGGAAGGAGAGAGGAAGGGAGAGATCTCCTGATGCTAGAATGTACTATAACGAAATACTTTTTAGAACTGGTATGGATGTGGCCTAGAGATTTGGATGAACCAGTAAAATAGCACAGAAACTAAAGAAAAGGGCCAAAACAAATCGAGTACATTTCTCAAAGACCTGAGAAAAATTAAGAACTTGTTTTAAAGTAACTTACTGACCATTTGAGGGGGAAAAAAAGGCAGATCCCATCTCCACATAATACCTTACACGTAACACTGCAAGTGGAGTAACACTCCAAGTACAGAAAACAAACACAGGAACACTAAGCAATCAAGACAGCTGCTTACAACACGCTGGGACAGCACAGACTTTCTAAGATTAAAGTAAAGACCACAAGGATCAGAAGAGCTGCCTACAAAAAACTAAAAAGGCATCTACATCTTTAAAAAATGAAAAAAATTAATAAAACAAAATAAAAACATTTGCCACGTGTGATGCAGTGGTAAAGAATCCTCCTGCCAATGTAGGAGATACAAGAGACACAGGTTTAACCCCTGGGTAGGGAAGATCAGAAGGAAATGGCAACCCACCCCAGTATTCTTCCCTGGTGAATCCCATGGACAGAGGAGCCTGGCGGGTTACGGGCCATAGGGTCACAAAGAGTCAGACATAACTGAGCTTGTACACACCGAAATTTTAATAAGGTAAAGATGAACATGGGAACAAAGGAGGAATAGACTTTTATAAAAAAGAAGAGAAACAGTGAAGTGTTAAAAGAGAAATTGCGAGCAAAAACAGTGAGAGTATCTCTCACCAAACTGGAAATTTAAAAAACCGGGGACCTGGGAGTCCAATCACTAAAGAAAGCGGCAGAGCAAGCCAGACTCCAGAGGGTGCAGAGGATGCTCCCCGCATCCACACACACACGCAGGTCTGCGTGAGAAGGCACTCTGTGGGCGCCAGTATTCTTTCAAATTATGTCCCATAGTTTCCAGGCCCTAATCTCCAAACAATGTAAAAAAAACTGCTAAATGTTCAACATCATGAAGAAAAGAATTCATACAGGTCCTCTCGGGGTGACCTAAGGAAAAATACCAGTTATGCAGGAAATCAGTACACAGATCCACTCCTGCCCATGTACCCAGTCCTGAAGGTACATGTCTACCATGACATGGTCACAGAGAACCAAACAAATGAGGTGATAAATCTGAAGTCCTTGTTTGTGTCTGACACACAGTAATTGATTAATATCAGTGTAGAAGCAAAATGAAATAATGCATGCTGAATATTCTTGAATGAATATTGGAATAATTATTTTCAAATGCAGAACAGAGACAAGAAAGATGACTTAGTGAAAGTGACATAATGCATAGACAATATGTAAAAGGCACAAAAGAGGGATTTTTAAATCTCTTGATTTTCAAGGAAAAATTATTACTAATAAATGGAATCAATTTCACTAGAAGATGAGGAAATTTCATTGAGACATTTCATAAAAATCTTTTTAGCACAAAAAAACAAAGTAAGAATGTTAACAAGTATTAGACAACACAGTATTGATACTGAGTCAAAGATGCCAAAAAATGTAGGAATAAAGAACATCTTCTCTTTCTGAACTCTGCACGGGTAAGGTTCCTTTTTGGCAAGGAACCTGGATCACAAGAAACAAGTAAATAAGCAAATGGTCTCTCTCACATTCACACACACAAACACAAGTAATTTACACAAGCCTCCAGTCACATTTTCTCTCTCTCCTATGTTTGAAACGTGTTAAACAACA